GTGCTGATGGGCCTCAATACAGGGCATTGTAAGAGCTGCTGTCAGAAGGACATTGGCCAGACCACCCTGGGAGAAGCAGAGAAGAGAGCCTGACAGGAAATCCTACCTTAAATATGAAGAGCAGGTGACAGTTTGGAGGCCCATGGGAGGGAAAGAGACTCTAACATGACACTTCACTGACTGGGATCCTCAAAAATGGCTCTTCCCACACCCCAGGCTTATGAGATGGTGCCTCAGGTCCTCAGCTGGGTGGCCTTCATAGAAAAGAGGCCAGTGCATTCATCCAGCCCAACTCCCTGGGTTACCAGTTGTGTCTATCCATACTCAGAGCTGCTGACTTCCCTCTCACTCCAGCTCTTCTTCCCCTGCTTCTCCCCTGTTCAACACAGCACTGGAGAGTATGGGGACCCTCCCCAGACACAGGCATGTTTGCAGACACAGGTTCCTGGACTAGGGGGAGGCTACTACTACCTATCTCTGGGAACTTACAGCAGTTCTACAGATTAGAGAATGAGTGTGACAGGGCAGCTAATGTCTTGGGACAGTGTAATAATTGTGGGCTGATAGCTAGGGCAGGCAGGAACTAGGATCAAAGGTCTTAGGAAGGATCAGGGTTGGAGATCTGTGCTGTAGCCTGACCTAGCAAAGTTAGCTCTTCCCAGAACACAGGCCACTCCCCACCCTCTCCTCTGGAGTTGTGCAGAGGATCTTTCAAGTTTTCCAGAACTTGGAGAACCAGGCCCACATCTAAGCATTCCACCTAGGATGGACACAGACACAGCCCTAGAGCCTTCAATGACAAACTGATGAGCAGAAAGTCTTTCCTGCCCCAACTCAGTCTCTAGGATAAAATGGAGAGAGAAGAAAACTTAACCTAGCTGTGCATTTGTGGTTAAAGAGATGCATCTCCTAATTGGCTTCCTGCAATGGCCAAGAGGGCCGTAGACTGGAGGTGCAGTCCCAATCGTCCTCCAGATTTCTAAACCAGCACCGTCCTCTCTCCAGTACACAAAGGAAACAGATCCCAACTATTGCTGTCCCTTCACCCCACTCTCTTCCCCTCCTGAGCTGCTGCCCCTACAAAGTTCCTTTCCTGAGTCTATCTAGTCTCAAGTGCCAAGGGAGCACTAGCAACCAGTACACCCTCTGGCCTTCCCTTTTCTCTACAATAACCTCACCACACTGATGTCATCTCTGCTTTCCATTAACACCACTGAGCTGGCCACAGAAGGGCTGCAGGGTCCAGAGGACAGCTGGCACTGTCCTAAGCCAAGCTTCCCCAGAGCATTTCCCAACCAGGAGTGTGTATCTCTCCCATCTCATCCATGGTGCCAAGATATCCACCTGGGGTTAGGTGTTGACTGTGCCTCCCTGTGCCCGCTGGAAAGTCAATGCTCTGCTCTGTTTGGGGAATGAAGCCAAAGCTCTGCTGCAATACTGGGGAGCTCACAGATTTCTAAGAGAAATGGGACAAAGCACAATAGCAAACCACAAAGATCAGCATCTAAAGGGCACAGAGTGTAAACACACCATATCAAATGGGTAGGAGTTCAGGGAAGGGGAAGAGAGGCCCTTCCCAACAGAGGAGCAAGCCCCTAGGATTGGGTAGGCAAGAGAATGGCTTTGAGGGCCAGTGAGGTGGCAGTACTTCTCTCTCTCTCTCTCTCT